GGGGAGGGCTCTGAGGATTGCGTCGGGCGCGCGCCCGCTCAGTAGCGGTCCACGTGACCGGCACGCTGAGAATCCGCTTCCACGTGACAGTCTGGGAGGCTGGCCGAGGCAGTGAGATATGTGTCTCTGTAATGTAACCTTGGTCGTCGGAGATTTTTTTAGCGTTGTTTACCACTTTTTATGTCGGCTTGGAGGGTATGAAGAGAAATAGAAGGCGAAAAAGACTTTCTGCTCTTTCTCTGTTATTCACGTTCTCTTCGTTAATGAAGCACTTGTTAAGTGCCGCAATACCGATTTCTCTGCACCGCCATGTTAGTTCTAGAGGAAACTCGCGAGATGCTACTGGGTTTGTATCGCGAGATCTCCCGATTCTCGCGGGACCTTGTTGGCAGAGCAGTTGTCCTGGATGGCGGAGCCTTGGGTTCCGGGGGCCTGGGACTCGCAACTCTTTCTACAAGGCAAGTTGTTAGGGAGGGGCCGGGGGCACGTGCCTCTTGGTGCCGAGAGACGTGCTGTGTCAGCTCCCTCTAGACCTGAAGGGAATACATTGACCCAATTGAGGCGACATGATCCTCCTCCCCACCCCCCTGCGGGCGTTCCGCCACCTGCAGAAGCGAATGCACCCCTCAGCCCGGCTCTTTCTCCCTCCTCAGTGATAGTTCCCCCGTCTCACTGGAAGCCTGGAGCCGTGCTCGCACAGACGTGACGATTCCATTGGATACCGTTCCTCTTACTTTCAGACGTTCTTGTCAGTTTTTCCCCTTGTTGCCATTTTCTGAAGAGTTCCAGACCTGTTAACCATTCTGTCGCTTGTTTCTGCTGCAGTACCTTTCTCCACTGGCCCTTCTCAGACGCTTAAAATAGCGTTCCATTTCTTCTCTCTGGGCATCATTTACTGCCGTTTATTTGGTCATTGATAACTTCCTCATCACTCTAACTTACTTTGTATTTACGATAACTTTTGGGAGTATTTGGAGGGAGCCTTAATGTCTCTGACAAATACCTAATGTCAGAATAAAATCGTTCTTTTAATCTTTTTGTATGTGCCTATTAACTCAGTTATCGGTAAGATTTTTGATTATTGTTACGAGGTTGCCATCTTTGTTGTTCAGGGATGATTGTTTTAGGTTACGTATTTAAGGTAGTAGTGGAACGGTTTAAGTCAAATTTAAAGGCAAACTTCTCTTCAAAAACTTTGATATCAGAATTTAGTTCAGTTTTTCTTTAAATTAGTTTGACACAAGACTAGATTTTCTCCAAATCGCCAATGTTTTACCAAAAATGATTTATAGTATACTTTTTTATTCGTATTTTGAGCAGTCTTTGGATTCGTAGTGGTAGGTTAATTACAAAACTGATCAGATAACTAGGTAATCCATTCAGTTTTTTAACTACGAAAGTGTTGTTTGCCTCTGCACTTAGTACAGAGGGAAATAGAGTAAAATGCTTCCTGTTACATTTTACCAAGTTGCCTTTCTCAGCCTTAAAGCTTTAAATCTTTGTAACCACTCTTAGCGGTAGTTGTGTATTATTCCAGATATTTCCCATGATTTGTCTTTTTAACGAAGAGGCGGAAACGGAGGGGTGTTGTTTTAAGATCTGTCTACACTATCACAACATTAGCAATCAGTAAAAAAATTTTCTACTCAGTTGTAATTTTATTTCGTGATATATACCTGTTTTTTGACTCATGCATACATGCTTAGTTTTTGTTTTTGTTTGCACAGATTTTTTTTGGTGGTATAGTTTTGTGAAAATATCTTGAATGATAGTATTATTTTTGCCCAAGAGATTTAGTATGCTGGTACCTTTGCACAAAAATAAAGTCCATGTGAAATACGATTTAAAGAAATGTTTTATCACTGTGTTTTAAATTTTTTTGTTTAATATTTATGCAGTGTATTTACACTTATTTTGATATGTTTATATTTTATGATACTTAAATATTCTAAACTTTATGTGTATAGGCGTTTTCCTGAAGTTTAAAGTTATCAACTTAATTAAATAGTTCTGACCATGCAATTTAGTGAGTTCAACTGAAGAGTGGTAGATACATCAGTAGTTAATACAAACATACATGTACTCAAAAGTTGCAAAGCAGCATTTTGTGATTGTTTCTTTTATTTTTCTCCCCCAGCCTACCAGCAGTATTATCTATAAGACTTGTCAAAAAAAAAGTGTCCACTCTTCTTCGTCAGTGTGTTTTCTGTTGTAATAGTTCAAGGAGGAATGTTGGAGAATAAGAGTATTGAGAGATGATTTGGGAAAGAGGAAAAGGAGACATGGGATTGTGTAGGTTGATATTGAAATGGGAATTGGAGAAGTTGCAGAGAAAAGAAAGGATGGTAGAAGTTTGACAGGGGCATGGTCCGAAAACAGGCAGCTCATAATAGTGGGAGGAATGCTTAAGTTGACTAGAATTTGGAATCAGTATGTGAGGAAATTTTTTCCTCTTAAATAATTTTTAAAAACAGGTTTCAGTCCATTCCCCAAAGTGCTTGATATCATCTGTCAAACATCAGCAACTGAAGTTGTTTAATAGAAACTATGAATTATTTACTTAGGTACAGCCCTCTTGTTAAGTAACTTGTTGAATACATTTTATTATTATTTTTTGAAGTAGGAATGTGAAAATGACAATGGATTCAAAGGTCATAATTCTGTAAGGGCCTTTGCAAAGGTATTTACAAAGTTTTGCTTGGAAATTGGGCCTTTGGTAGTTCACTTGTGTATCTGATCCTTGCAATAATATATGTTTCTTATTCTTTCAACTTTGTTTTATATATTGTTTTTGGTAGTGGACGTTGGGAATTATCAGACTTCTACAGACGCTAAAATACCCAGGTACTGAGTAGAAATGTACTGAGAAAATCCAAGAAGAAGACAAATGTATCTTGTATCTTATGCGATTTGAGTTTTGCTTGAGTAAAACTTAATAACCAAGAAATTTTATTTTCCTTTTCTCAGTTATTACTGTCATAGAAGTGATCTGTGAGAGCCAGTGAGCTTCAGTGATCAGAGGATATTAACTACAGTGATAACATAATGCCCTCACTTGGATTTCTTCCTTAATGTCTGACACAGTGCTAACTTCCATAGACCTGTAACTTTGTAAAATGTATAGTGTAATGCCTATGTTACATTTCAATTATATGAAGAATATACGCTGTATTTCTTGCCTCTTCCTGAACCAGTGTCCAAGACAGATTTTGGTAAATTACTTCACCAGAAATATCAATGAAAGTATGTTGCAGGTGCTTTTTAAACAGTCTACTATTTTATATGAAAATTCAGTCTCAATTTAAGTACAAGGAATATTTGCTGGAGGTCTTCATTTTTAAAGTACTATTTAATATATATGTGATATACACTGTAGAGCAAATTTCTGTTAACTACTGTAATTAAATTTTAAAAAACACTATCAGTAACTATTTCCCAAAGTCCCAAGTCTTCCAAAATAATGCAGTATGAATTTTGCTGTTTCATTTGAATTTGTCCTACTCACACCTCCCTAACCCCCTTTTTTTTTAATTTTCAGCTGTTCTTTCTCATTTACGTAGGTAATCTTTATCTGGTCAGAGACAAATGAATAACTTTCCCTGAGGAGGCTATCAAACTATTAAGTTACTATTACTGTTTTTTCCGGAACTCCAGTATGTGTGTGTGTGTGTATGTTACAGTCAGTAATTAAACATTTTTTGAATGATAGCAATTTCAGCCATTCAGCAGGGATCCTGAGGCTTCAAACTAACTGTAACCAAGTATGATAAGCCTATGAGCTTTATTCAGAAATGACTAATTGTAGTAAGTAACTTAAAATTTTGCAACCCTAACAGGGTTGGTTTTCTGATTTTTTTAGCCCACAGATTATAATTTACAAGGTTGGCCATTAGAGTTAGGCACACTGACATCTGAAATGTCATCTTATTTCAAGGCTATTGGAGAAGAGCTATTAAAAAGTGTGTGGAATTTGAAGAATAGCGTTTTAAGGCTGTTACTTGGAGACAACAGTCCTGTAGTCACTAACTTCTGAGAGAATCACAGTGTCGTAGAGCAGTATAGTTACATGGTGTGTCACAATGATGATTTAAATCATAAATAAAGTTTTATTCGATATACTGTGTTTAAGGGAGTAAGAAATTGGTGTCTTTAGAAGATTCTTATAAGAGTAAATGTTTTCAAAGCTTTATTTCGTTTCAGTTTTCTAGAAAACTCATGAGGAGCTCATATGATACTGAAAAAAATGGTGCTGCTGTGTATGGAATTTCCTTTATTTTATTGCTTTTATCTATTTATCTTCTTATTTAATATTTCAAGGGATTACCTCCCAAGTAAGACTTTATTACATTTAATATTTGATATCAGTAATAATTAACCAGTTTGCTCAAGACTAGCACATTTGTTGATGAACCAATTTTCATATCGGATAATTAGAATTAGTAAATGACCTGTGAATCAATTTTAAAGTTTTGAACTCTAATAGAGTCTCCATCCTTAGCACAGCTGTTTCCTGAGGTGAGAAATGTTTCATTTGTAATAGATTTTCTTTGTTGCTTTGCTTTCCTTTAGAGTCTCTTTTAATATGTTAATTTAAACCTCGTGCTCTCTTCAGTGGTAGAGTGATGGTAGACAGCACTGGATGTAGGTATTAAGTGTGTGTAGTTGTGTGTGTTTTAATGATTTTAATGATGAGTTTGAGGATTTTAAATCTTGAGAATTAATGTAACCATATTAACATTTTGATGTATTGCATTATTTAAGAATATATCTTTACTTGCCAATAAAACATTTAATTTCACATCCTGCTTTTAACTTAATGTTAGGTAACATTTTCTCGTTCTGACAGTCTTCATAACCATCATTATAAATGGTTGTATGGTGTTCCATGTGTAGATAAATGATTCTCTGTTCTACTTTTTTGCATATATAAATAACTGTGAAGAACATTTATACATAAAGTGTTTCCTGTATATAGTATTATCTTGTATATTGCATATATGATTTTTAGGTACATTTTAAAGTCTCTTAAAACACAGTGATACAGTATTTGTCAAAAGGATCAATTTTTATTCATATTGAAGTGACTGTTGCTCTATATGTCAGCATTAACTGTTTATAAAAACGTAATGGGGGTAAGTCATATACCACTTTTTTCTTAGATTACTACTAAGGTGAAACATGCTTAATAGATGTATTTCTTTTGTGAGTTTTCAAGATAATTAGAATTTTTAAAATTAATCAAATCATTTGACCTAATTTTTTTTACTCTACTCTTGATCTTCTGAAATTCCTTTTCTAGAAATATAATAAATAAATAATACTGATTTTAATACTATTTATTTTAGTTTTTCTAAGTTAGATTTAAATAAATTTAACTTTTTATGTTGTCTGGCATTTTTGTGAAGTGAGAATCTAAATGTTTGCCTGCAAATCCTTAATTGTCTCAAGTATTTATTAG